ACAAGCTGTTAACAACTTGTAACAACCTTGATGGCATTATCAAACTTGTAGCAAAGTTTTTCTAACAAGTCTGATACAGTCATGACATAACAACAATGTTACAAGGTTGATGACACAAGGTTGTCACAAAATTGTTATATCATGACTGTATCGGACTTGTTGGAGCAACCTTGCAACAAGTCTGATATCAACAAGGTTGTTACAAATTGTTAATAATTTTTCCAAACTTGTTGACAATTTGGGACAAGCAGTGCGAAGACAATTTGTGGCAGACTTGCTGCAAGATGTGAGTTTTTGCGTGTGTACTGGGACGCCTCTGGCTGCCACCAGACAGCTACCTGTATAGTGTAAGGGTGGGTTTGGGGGGAAGGAAGAAAACCGGTATCCTGTCAGCAATAATATTTTTCAAAACTCCGTTACTCAAGAAAAAGTAATTGTATCAACTCAAATGTTTTGGTCAACACTCCTAGTAACGACATACGGGACAAATAAAATACTAGATAGCATGTAGTTACAAATGTTTTAACGATTTTGGTGTTTTTCTTCATTTGTTTTCACTAAAAAGCATTGCTTTAGCAACATATTTGATACTTGTTTACAAAATAAACATAAAAGCAAGTACAAATTGTCATAAAATTAAACGGCAAAGTACGAAATTTGGTTTCGTGACATTATCCCGGTAAGCGGGCTGGCGTGTTCACATGGAAAATTTTTCATTGCCGCCTATCCGGCCAAGATCTCACCAAGTGGGCCAGCCCGCTTCCTCATGCGGTGCATATTTTAAACGCTTTGCAGTTGGAGCCAAAACCAAGATTAGGGCTCAGTGTGGGCTCCCAGCCAGAGTAGGATTTAGGTTACTCAGGGTAACGTTATGGCCCAGTCTGTGCCACTTACTAGTTGGACCTGCAGGGCCAAATGGCCCTCCAGTATATATGTATGTCAAACATGCCTTCTCCTCATGTGAACGCGATGTAAATGCGATGTCTCGGTAAATTGGCGCATATGAACTAGCCCTTAATCTTAAAATTTTGTGACATCACGCATGGAGATCTATATTTGGATTAAGCCGTCTTCAAATATCTATGTCTGTCTATATAAACAAGCAAGAAATTGCAAGTGCTCGAAAGACGTACAATGGCAGTGTATAGGCTCTGTCACACAGTGGAATATTACTTGCATCAAGGCCGTCAGATGACTTTGCTACAATACTCTGGAATATGGATAGTTTTGAACAGTTTTTTGTGATACAAGGAGATGGTGGTTATGTGAATGCATTGGATTTCAGTGCAGATGATCACCGTCTTTTTAGTGGATCAAATGATCGTAAACATCTAATTGTGATAACTTTTGGTACGCACATTGATCACCTTACGTTACACAGGATGTCTAATATATTTTTATAATAAGAAAATATGTATTGATATTTGAGCACAGTAGGCATTTTGCATAAATTGGTCACATGACCCCATGTCCCTCAAAACGAGCAGCTGTGTGAGGATGAACCAATGAAATGAAAAGCGCACCCCAATACTAGTAGAATTGCAAGGTTTCGAGCTTATATTTTAAAATTTTTACAGAACTTGTATTGGAAAATGCTCTTTGCCATCCAGAACATTTTTCATACCATAGTCGTCCAGCTACAAAATAGAAGACCTTCGTTTGATGTTGAACTTTACCTTATACCGTGGACAAATCCTTTGTCTCAACATCATTAAATATTATTCATCTATCGTGGTTGCACGTTTCATCTCAGCTATTCCTATTGGACTATTGACACAATGATTTCTGTTTAGTTTTCAGACCATCATACACACGCAAAAATCTCGCATCTTGTAACAAGTCTGCCAACAAGCCATCAACAAGATGTATTCGCACTGCTTGTCACAAGTTGTCAACAGGTTTGGAACAACTTGTAACAACCTTTTCGAAATTAACAGACTTGTTGCAAGGTTGTTCTGACAAGTCCGTTACATGCTTGATATAACAAGTTTGTTACAACCTTGTGTGTTGACAACCTTATAACATTCTTGTTATACCGTGGCTGTAACAAACTTGTTAGCACAGTCTTGTAACAAGGCTGATAATGCCATCAAGCCTGTTACAAGTTGTTAACAGCTTGTTTCAAACTTGTTACAACAAACTGGGAACAAGCAGTGCGAAGACAACTTGTTGACAACTTGTGAACAGACTTGTACCAACTTGTTTGCAGATTTGTTACAAGTTGTGCGTTTTTACGCGTGCAGACTATGCCATACAAATCTCGAGAAAATTTTGAATGTCATTTCTACCTTATTGCATATTGCATGAAACTTTGCAACTAATTTTACTAATGTTGATGCTCTTTTCATTCCTGTGATTTATTTTAACCGGCACAGGAGATCGTTCTAAGAAAATGGGACGACGTGACCAACTTATGCAAACGGTAATTCTACCATTTCACTGTATTAGTTACTATGATAAAATGTAAAATTGAATGCTGTATAGTCTGGTGTATTACTACTTGTGTCTAGATTTACTGTTCAAGGTAGCTTGCACTCTTTGTACAGTAGGTGTACAGTGTACTGCTGTAATTGGAATGGCTAGGGTTAATACTCGATCAAGCAAGGTTCAATGAGTTGACTGTTGAGCCAGCTGATCAAGAATTTGAAGATGTACTTCTGCTGACCGCAGTTTTATTTCTTTTTATTCCATGTTGATTTGATATTTTTCCTATTTTCTACTGACTACGAAAATTTTCTAGGAACAAGTTCTTGAATTCTTCTAGCTTTAGTTTTTGGATAGAAGAGAGAGAGGGGCACCCGCGTGAGAGCACAACTGTCGGGGAATTATTCAGCACCGATGCAACTCAGATTGTTTATCAGCACGTACTACGCCAGATAGTTTAACAGCACTCTACAAATTTATTTATACTGATAGTTATTGGTTATAAAGAGATCATCGTTTGTTATGTTAACTATTATTAAACCTTTCCAAAACCTGTCCTTGTTTTGAACCTGTCCTTGTTTCGAATTCGGATTTTTTCTATTTCGACTCCGGGTTTTCAAAAGTCAAGTCCGGATTTTTTAAACACGAGTCCGGATTTTTTTCGAGTCTGGGTTTCTCTCGAGTCCCGATATTTTTCGAGTCCGGGTCCGAGTTCGGTCTATCCTGCGTGGCAGGCCCTCATTTTTATGGGGGGCCTGATTTGCAACGGGCAGGATTCTGGCAGGCGCGGGGAATCCGCGCCCGCCAGAATCCAGCCCGTTGCAAATCGGGCCCCCCATAAAACTGAGGGCATGCCACGCAGGCTAAGTTCGGTCCGCGGGTTTCGCAGTATGCCTCAAAGTTTAGCATATCAGTTGCGCCCTATACGATTGCGTGGGTTACTGGCCGGTTTTGGAAAGTTTTTACATAGGAAACTAAACTTTTCCGTTCGATCTAATACAAGTTTGGAAACTTTATATTTTATATTTTATATTTTATAAGCTTTAAATTATTGGACATAGAAATTCTAGATTACTAGAATTCTAGATTAGTGCAAACGGGAAAACGAGACCCATGCAAGGCACAACCCCTAAATAGAAGTATGACTAATAACAAAAGAAAAAAGGAAGAAAAAATATCTATTTACAGTAAATATATACACAGTGCAGTTTAGGAACGATGGCAGGAGCAGTCACGTGTGAGTGACCAAGTGCATGGCATATCCACATTAAAAGTATCCTTGACAAGGTTGGAGTATGTTGCATGCAGGAAGCGTTTAAAAAGCGTTTTTTACTTTCCTAGTTTGTGGGCTACGAATACGATCTACCAATCCTGTCAGTTATTCTTGATCGGTAAATCCGCTTGAGTGTTACATGACACTTCACTTCGTCTTGAGAAGGAAGGGTTTGCGTTTTCCAAACCAGTTTTAATGAGATACCAGTTTTAATGTTTTGATAGATCTACCTCTCTTGAGTTATTTTAGTTATGTAATATTAACCTTAACCATACTAACCATGCACTTAACATTAATCTTTACTATAAATTAAGTAGTTACTGATAAGTTGTTTTCCTTTCTTTCTATTCATTTGTTCTTTCAAACTATATATGTAACCGTTTTTGTAATATTAAACCATTATTTTGTAAATATATACACCATAGCCTGTAAATTCATTTAGATTGCTCTGAAGATGTTGTATTGTAAAAACGAAATGTTAGCTAATAAATTTTTCACTTTTATTATATTTGGTTTTAAAGTTATTTGCTGGGCTCTGCTCTTAATAAGGTTGAAAAGTTCATAGATTTGGAATCTAAAGCTCGGGTGGTCTTTCGTGTGTTTGATAGCTTGAAAATATTTTCGGAAGAAATCATTGGTTCCAATGTGCCGCTTTTTAAATCATTTTTGTTACAATGTTTTCAACATTCTTCTGCACTATAGTTTGCTTTTCTTTTGAAATGCGATCCCGCAATAGTCTAGCGCAAGCAAGGTTTGACACACTGTAAACCTTGAAATGCGATCCCGCAATAGTCTAGCGCAAGCAGGTTTGACACACAGTAAACCTTGAAATGCGATCCCGCAATAGTCTAGCTCAAGCAGGCTTGACACACAGTATAGGAGTAAACCTGTTCGAACTTTTAATTGAAGTTATTCTTGACAAGATAGATTTGTACTAGGTAGATTTTATACTATGATATTTGCACTGTGTACTGTGATATTTGTCGTGGAGGTTAACAGGACAAGAGATGATTACAACACGATACAAATATTTACACAAACAATGTTAAACCATGATTGGTCAGAATTATGATACCATTACTAAATATGGTAATTATGGAAGTTCAGGTACATTAATTAATTATGTAATATCAATACAGGTCATTTTCGCCTTTCCCGCCTCGCCTGCCTCAAACGGGCAAGCTCTTTCGACAATCAGGTTTCTGATTGGTTAATACTCGCGCCCATACGTCTTTGCGGACCAGGTCGAACCTGTGGTAGCCTGCGCGCAGTCTCAGATAAACCTGTGGGTGTCTCGCAATATCTCAAAACTCACTCGCTCTTTGTATTGCTTTGACTTTTACATTTGTTTTAAATTTTTGTTTTAAGTTTTCAAGCAATTTCTATTTCCAAGACCTTTAGAGACGACTGGGGACGAGTCAGAACCTGTAGTGGAACAGATCCAGTGAGACAGCAAGAATCACTATAATCAGTGGTGAGTCAAAGTCAAACCTCTTCTGGCGGAGAGAAACAAAGGCGGTTAGTTTCTTTTGAATGTTAACACTGCATGAAAGCTAGGCGGTATATGTCTCTTTCAACTCTACTGGAGTAAATGAATTTGTTAAGTATACCATGTGAGGACCCGTGAGTATACAGACACCGAGACACGATACAATATGTAACATTGCTGGCGAGTGCGCTGCGACTGCGCAAGATTCACCCTAAAGCCCAACATACTGGTTCAAAAAAAAATGCCATGAATGACACACATGCTGGAGGAAAGAATCTACAAATACCTATATGATATGTTCGGAATAATATCATGATTGACGAATCGCATGCATGATCATTGAATAGGAATTGAAATTAGCTAGGTGAAATAATCACTCGAATGCGCACTTTCAGCGATTGAAAATCTAAGCTAAGGAAACATGGTGTTTTCAAAACCTGACGAAGAGATAAAACATAAGATATGGGCTAAACGTGAAGAACAAAAATTCCACTTTAATCAACGACGCTACAGACAATTTGCTTTCATGCTTTGGTTTGTTTATTTAATAAACTAACACCACGTAACCTATATATACTTATTATTGCAAAGCTTTCGATCCGGGCGTAAGCCCAGATCTTCATCAGTGCTAATAATATGCTTAAATGTGAAGATTCGAGTTTACGGATCGAAAACTTTGCAATAATAAAAATACGTGATGTTTAATTTCACAAAGCGAGACAAATATTTATAACTACTTATTCAACAGGTTTCATGTTACATTGGGGAACATATTTTTTATGAATTTCACGTATTTAGAGCAAAAACCTTATCTATAAAATTACAAAGATTTTATATTAGTTCAGTAAAACATTTAGTCAAATAGACATGTATACTGAGTCTGTTGTAATTTCAAACTTTTCAATCAATACAAGGGGACGTATCTAGTATAATCCGATTTGATAGACAAGTTCGAGATTGCATACCTGCGTATATATTAATATTACAGGAAATTGATGTCATGGCGTTTGATCATATGATAATCAGATAATGTAGTAGTTTGATAGGCAAATATATATTCTTTCTAAGTAAGTGACTTATAGGGCTAACATATTACTCATTTCTGTTTGAATAGATATAAATATGATCTGTTTATTAACATCATAATAGCAGTTGTGCATTTCTCATAACTGGCCGAAGTATTGTGTCACCTGAGCCAGACTGGAATCTTATATATTATGCCTAAATTGTAACTACTTAATGTTCACTACTGTTCACAGTAGGAATGTCTCTTTCCGATACAAAGCTGCAATTTCCTCAACTGGTTACGGGAAAACAGCTATTAATCCTTGCTTTTGTACTAAGCGTGGATAGATCTTGAGGGGATTAGGGGAAAAAAACTGAACCGCAGATGGTGATCTCACAAGAAATGGCGTGGAGAAGATTCTCTTCGCACACTACAAAGATTTCAGTCTAGAGTCGTGAGGGATAATATAATTAGACTAGCAATTACGAAATATATAAATGACTCGTAATGTTGTGAATATAGGGCTCTGAACTCGCTAAACACAAACGTTTAGCTCACAGCTGACACGGCTGATGTTAAAGTTGACCATCGTTTTATAAGTATTCACGTATATATATATACGATCAACTTCACAAACGTCTATTATAAAAGGTGACGACAATAACCTAATTTATAACGTTTATAATTCTTTAGTTTATAATTCTTTATTATTTTTCGATTTTATGCTAAGTGAAAATTATAGCTAATTATACGAAATTCAGCGAAAATTATCAAACCATGTTATCACAGCCTGGATTATAGTTGGTTGAGATAACTGATAAACATTGGAATATACGGAACAAATTGGCTGATAAACAATTTGATTTTGTCCGATTCAAATAGGCCGACCGAAATCGCACTGTGTCCGCCTGGCTTCAATTGCGGGTAAGAAATTCGCCTAGCTTAAGTTGCGGGTAAGAACTAAGTAAATTGATCAGTTGCATAAAACAGCCAGTTGTAAGTATGTGCGCATGACTTGCATGGGTAATATACTAATGTTGTGTGGATCAATTACTTGCGCCGAAATTTTTACTGGGACATATTTTCACCTGTATATTATAAGTGTGACTATGACAACCTCGTAATATAGTCTTCAAGAAATTTGTAAATTCAAAATTGTAATAAGACCTCGAAATATTTTATTCAGCAAAATTGACAACGTGGGATCATGGCAAATCTTTAAAACCATTCAAAACCCATTTTATTAATGGAAATTTCAATTTTTTCCCGTGATTATTACAAGTATTTGCTTTGGATTTATAAGTGCTTAGTAAACGCTGGCACCGTTTTGGTGACAGAATATATATGTTAGATATAGCTAACATATTTTTATGAATTTCGCGTATTTAGAGCAAAAATCTTATTTATCATGAAATTACAAACATTTTGTATTAGTTAAAAGGTTCAGTCAAATAGACGTGGATATACTGAGGCTGTCAAAATTCAGCCTTCTCAGTCAATACATTGACGAACGTGCTCTATCGATTATGGCTGGATCCGGATTTACAAGAAGCGAATCAAATGCAAACTTGATTAGATTTGTTATACCTTATGCAAAGACCGTAACATTCCAGACCTCATTTTTTATAAGAACTTGCAAAACGTAGAACATATTAAACACAGTAACTTGCGTACTAGAAATATAGGCTTGCTGTCTTTTAAATCAGGTCTTAAACATGCACTATCCAAAACTTTTGATCGATTATGACGATCTGCGCACCTGGAAATCAAAGTGCAAAAGAGCTTAAGGTGGCTCCCTACAGTTTTTGAAATATGACAAAATTGTTATTTAGATTTAATTTAACACAAAAGCAAACACAAAAGCACACGGTTTGGATAGCAGCATTGAAAACAGGTAAAATTTATAGTTAATAATATTTCCAGCGTAAATATTAAATCTGTGCGAATCTACATCCTAAGAGGTTTATGAAAAATCATTGTAAAGCTAAATAAGCTAAATATAAAGTTCGACAACGTTCCAAAGTTTAGCATATTTGGCGCGCTATACGATTGCGTGCTATGGGTTTGGAAAGCTTTTACATATGAAACTAAACATTTCTTGGATCTAAGTTTGGAAAGTTACAAGTTTGGAAACGTTGTGTATTTGGAAACTTTCCGAGTTTGTGGGCTATGAATAAGATGGTGGGCTAACAATCTTTTCAGTTATTGTTGATTAGTAAAACTGCTTGAGTGTTACATGACAGTTCACTTTGTCTTGGGAAGGAAGTGTGTGCGTTTTCCAAACCAATTTTAATGAGGATGAAAAGTTCATAGATTTCGAATTAGGGAATCTAATGCTCGGGTGGTCTTTCGTGTCTTTAATAGCTTGAAAAATTTTCGGAAGAAATCATAATTGGTGCTTGGCCTTCTTTTAATCTTTTTTGTTACAATATTTGCGACATTTTTTTGCACTATAGAGTAGTTTGCTTTTGTTTTGAAATGCGATCCCGCAATAGTCTAGCGCAAACAGTTTGACACACAGTAAATCTTGAAATGCGATCCCGCGACAGTTTAGCGCAAGCAGGTTTGTCACACAGTAAACTTTTTGAACTTTTTTGCACTTTTTGCAACGACAGATTTGCACTCTCATACTTTGATATTTGCACATGTACTGTGATATTTTTATTTCTGTAATATTCTTTAAGTATAATATGTTTTGGGTTCATATGGTTGTCGCCATGAATACCTACGTAATAAAACTTTGTCGCGGTTCGTTTACAAGACAAAAGATTTTAAGCTGATTACAATACGATACACATATGTACAAAAACAATGTTAAACCATGATTGGTCAGAATTATGATACTATTACTACATATGGTAATTATGGAAGTTCGGATACATTAATTAATTACGTAATATCAATACAGATCATATTAAACGGGCGATTAATTAAACATGGTCAGAGTCATTTTCGCCTTTCCCGCGCCTCGCCTGCCTCAAACCGCCAGGCTACCCAGGCAGCTCCTTCGATGATCAGGTTTGTGATTGTTTAATACTCGCTCCCATACGTCTTTGCAAACCGAGTCGAACAGATCAGTGAGACAGCGAGAAATGCCGAGAATCACTAATCAAAGTCGAACCTCTTCTGGCGAAGTTTGAAAAACTCAAACAACGGCGGTAGGTATAAGTTTCTTCCGAATGTTTTAAAAACACTGTTTGAAAGCTAGGCGGTAAGTTTCTTTGAACCCTAGTGAGGTAAATGAATTTGTTAAGCATACAGATACCGAGACACGATACAGTATGTAATCTTGCTGGCAAGTGCGCTGCGACTGCGCAAGATTCACCCTAAAGCCCAATATACTGGCTCAAAAGAAAATAAATAAGCTATGAATGACACACAGGAGGAAAGGACATACAAATACCTATATAATATGTTAGAAATAATTATCATGATTGACGGATCGCATGCATGATCATTGAATAAGAATTAAAAGCTAGGTATAACTAATAATCACTCGAATGCGCACTTTCAGCGATTGAAAATCTAAGCTAAGGAAACAGGGTGTTTTCAAAATCTGACGAAGAGATAAAACATAAGATATGGGTCAAACGTGCAGAACAAAAATTTTACCTTAATCAATAACGACATTCATTTAATTGCAGACAATTTGCTTTCATGCTTTGGTTTGTTTAATTTAAATGAACACCACGCATGTATACTTATTATTGCAAAGCTTTCGATCCGGGTGTAAGCCCACATCTTCATCAGTGCTAATAATATGCTAAATATGAAGATTCGGGTTTACGGATCGAAAGCTTTGCAATATTAAAAAAAATACGTGATATTTTTCAAAAAAGCGAGGCAAATATTTCTAGTGCTTACTAATTATAAACAGGTTTCATGTTACATTGGGCAACATATTTTTTATGAATATCAGGTATTTAGGGCAAAAATCTTATCTATAAAATTACAAAGATTTTATATTAGTTGAATAAAAGATTTAATAGTCAAATAGACATGGATATACTGAGTCCGTCGTAATTTCAATCTTTTCAATCAGAACAGAATATATATGATTACAGGAAATTGATGTCAAGACGTTTGATCATATGATAATCAGATAATGTAGTAGTTGATAGGAAAATATATTTTCTTTCAAACTGGGTGGGCGACATAGGGCTTGCGCATTTCTCATAACTGGCCGAAGTATTGCGTCACCTGAGGCCAGACTGGAATTATTGCAAATGCGGCTGAGAATGTGGACGATATTTTTGGGCGCGTATATATATTAAAGAAGATCAATGTTTGCGCGGATGAGCGCTATTGCCAGGTTCATCCTACTGGTTACTCCAGCTTATTCAATGACTCAATTTCCTGAAATGGCACAGAAATCAAGAATATCAAAAGAATTAATTAATTAATTAATTAATTAATTAAAATGTAGGAAAATAACAATATTAATTATCTGCCTAAATTGTAACTACTAAATGTTCACTACTGGTCACAGTAGGAATGTCTCTTTCCGATACGAAGCTGCAATTTCCTCAACTGGTTACGGGAAAACAGCTATCAATCCTTGCTTTCGTATACTAAGCGTTGATAGATCTTGAGCGGATTAGGGAAAAAGACTGAACCGCGGTTGGCACACAGTTAGTCCCTGCGCGGATGCGGTTGATCTCACAAGAAATGGCGCGGAGAAGATCTTCTCCGCACACTACAAAGATTCCAGTCTGGAGTTCTGCATGAGGGACAATATAATTACACTAGCAATTACTAAACATATACAGGACTCTAGCCTCCTCCGCAGGCAACTCTTTGGCAAAAATCTAAATATTAAAGAAATCTAAATCTTAAAAAATCTAAATATTAAAAAAATTGGCAAAAATGTGACTATTGTAGATTACTCCTATAGATCACCCTAACAACCCCTAACTTTAAATTCGCTGTTATTCATAATATTTTTGCCAATTTTTCCAAAGAGTTGCCTGCGGAGAAGGCTAACAGGACTCGTAATGCTGTGAATATTTGGATCTGAACGGGACTAGCTAACAGTGGTGGGTCGTGGGTAGAATGTCGTGGGTAAAATGTCGTGGGTAAATTGTCTTTGGGTGAAAAGGGTTGGTTCCCGAGAAAAAAGTCGTGGGTCCCAAATAAAAAGTCGTGGGTCCCGAGAAAAAGTCGTGGGTTCCAAGCAAAATGTTTCCGCATATTTATCTTTTTCCTTTGGGAATGCGTGTTTTTTTCCGAGGCTTTCCCAAATGCCCGTAGAGAGCATTAAAGATTTAAGGGTAGTTGTTTATAAATAACCATGCAAGTGTGGATGAAACAGTTCAACTTCACGCCCCATATAGCAGGGAAATATTCGGACGTTTAATATAATCTTATAGGCAGCTAAATTAATTATTATTATTAGGGTACGAAAGCTGAATTATAGTGCTATCCACTAGTAAGATAGTCAAATTTTTATAATCGGCATAATATGCTTTCAGAGCTAAGGAACTGCGAAGTATAGTTACCCATTTAATTTAAATAATATGACATAGCATTTGACATATGTATGGTCTTCATGCATATATACGGCCATTTAATACTGTACTCTGTAGGTTACAAATTAAAGAAGATCGCCGGTCTGCAAAATAGTGATGCATCGATATCCATATCGGTAATTTTGTTGTTGATATTATCCACATCGTCGTAAACATTACAAGAAAATATATCCCTAAACCGACCGATGTTGCTGTTATTTACCTGCCGAAGTCTATCCTAAAGGAGTTATTTAATACTGAGATGTGGAATTGTAACGAAATAGAGAGATCTTTTGATTTCTGAAATATCCCAAACTACCAACGGAACAATGCTACTCGGATTGTTATTACTGTAAAAGCGCTTTGAAATTTTCAAATTCGAACTTGCCATTGACTTTAATGAAATTTGATGCTCAAGAAAGAGGGTAAAACCGCGCAAAAAAACCCTAGAATTTAAGAACCTGTTAGGCTAATATATTTTCTGAAAATATTTTCTGTTTTGAAATTCAGGCTAGAATTTCAAAACAGATTCTTATATTTTCAAATAAAGTCAAAATTAAGTCATAAGTTACAATCATATAGTTATAGAGTTGGTATAGTCATGCATACACTGTAATATTTTAGATCACTTCGCATGCATAATTTATATAAATCATATACCATACCTTCCTAAAATGAGCCGCTTTTTTCTTAAGAAAATAAGAACCTGTTTAATCTAATTTCCTGGTAAGCACAATTCACACAAGAACCTGTTTAGGCTAACTTGGAAAATCTAGGTTCTTACATGTGGGTGGATATTTTTTGAAATGGTTTGACATTAAAAACAGGACATTTTGTTGGATTTACTTTCCTGATGTCTTACAAAGCTGTTTGAAATTAATTAAAATTGCAATTTGAACCATTTAAAGTGACCTTTCACTTACTGCATTTCTGACGACCAGTTTTCAGCTCTTTAGTCTTTGAATTTCCTAAAACCGCGTGGTCTTGAAAATCCTTGAATTTTCTTTTTCTGACTTGTACGAACCGTGTATCCAGTCTAAATGAGGTGACTTTAGTTTGATGTTTTCATCTGTAGTAACAATTGATTAATACGAAATATTAACACGCTTCGTTGGTATGGATGGACTACCTGAAAAATATAAAGAGAATTTCGACGTTTCGAGCGAAGACCTTCGTAACATTACACTGAATGTTAGTTGAAGGGTGGAAATTATCAATGATGGAAATTTATATACATTATTAGACCTACCCAGGAACAGAAGGGAAAAATGCAACTTTAGGTCCCTGGCTGGAATCGAACCTGCGGCACTGCAATTCCGGTGCAGCGTTCTAAACACAGTTGTGGAGCTCTAACAACAAGTTCAATCGAATGTGATGCCAACAAAATCTTGATATTTACACACAAGAGCTCGACAACTGGCCTCTGTAGCTCAGTTGGTTAGAATCACAGTGCCGCAGGTTCCTGCCAGGGACCAAAGGTTTCATTTTTTGCTTCTGTTCCTGGTTAGGGCTAATAAATGTATATACATCTCTACTCGATAATTTCTATTTACAATACCTTTCAACTAATGTTCAATTGAGTGAGATCACTGAGATTCCAACAAAATCTTGATATTTACACATTATTCTGAATGGCCATTTTTCGACCTCTGGCAGGACAATGTAGAACAAATAGACCCGTCCTGTATCGATAAAGTTTGTTTTTATTTAATTAAGGTTCGTTCAGTAGAAACATTATATAGACTGATAGAGATGAGCCTTTAGTGCCTCTAGGGAGAATAAGACTTCGCTCACACTAGAGAAAAGATTCCAAATTCACTACAATTTATCGATTCGACTATTCGGATAAATTAACCATTTACACTACCGGTAGCATTGAAGACAGGTAAAATTTATAGTTAATAATATTTCCGGCGTAAATATTAAATCTGTGCGAGTCTAATCCTAAGAGGTTTATGAAAAATAAAGCTAAATAAGCTAAATATAAAGTTTGACAACGTTCCAAAGATTAGCATATTTTGCGCGCTATTATACTAAACTTTTCTTCGATCTAAATTTGGAAATTTACAAGTTTGGAAACGTTGCGTATTTGGAAACTTTCCGAGTTTGTGGGCTATGAATACGATCTAACAATCTTTTCAGTTATTGTTGATTAGTAAAACTGCTTGAGTGTTACATGACAGTTCAGTTTGTCAGTTGGGAAGGAATTAAGGGTTTGCGTTTTCCAAACCAGTTTTAATAAGTTTGAAAATTTCATAGATTTGGAATTTAGAAATCTAATGCTCGGGTGGTCTTTCGTGTCTTTGATAGCTTGAAAATATTTTGGGAAGAACCCATTGATGCTTGCCCTTCTTTTAGTCTTTTTTGTTACAATGTTTGCGACATTCTTTTGCAATATAGAGTAGTTTGCATTTGTTTTGAAATGCAATTCCGCAACAGTCTAGCGCAAACAGTTTGACACACAGTAAATCTTGAAATGCGATCCCGCAATAGGCTAGCGCAAACAGTTTGACACACAGTAAATCTTGAAATGCGATCCCGCAATAGGCTAGCGCAAACAGTTTGACACACAGTAAATCTTGAAATGCGATCCCGCGATAGTTTAGCGCAAGCAGGTTTGACAGTGACCTTTTCGAACTTTTTTGCACTTTTTGCAAAGACAGATTTGCACTGTGTTACTTTGATATTTGCACATGTACTGTGATATTTTTATTTCTGTAATACTCTTTAAGTATAATATGTTTTGGGTTCATGGTTGTCGCCATGAATACCTGCGTAATAAAACTTTGTCGCGGTGGTTTGCATAGCCTGCGTAGCAGACGGTTTTTAGGGGAGGTTGCGGGCGGGGAAAATTAGGGCGGGAAAAGTTAGGGGGGAAAACCCTCCCCCTGCCGCCTAACTTTTCCCGCCCTAATTTTCCCCGCCCGCAACATCCCCTAAAAACCGTCTGCTACGCAGGTTATGGTTTGCAAGACAAGAGATTAAGCTGATTACAATACGATACACATATTTACACAAACAATGTTAAACCATGATTGGTCAGAATTATTATACTATTACTAAATATGGTAATTATGGAATTTCGGACACATTAATTAATTACATAATATCAATACAGATCATATTAAACGGGTGATTATACATGGTCAGAGTCATTTTCGCCTTTCCCCCGCCTCGCCTGCCTCAAACCGCCAGGCTACCCAGGCAGCTCCTTCGATGATCAGGTTTGTGATTGGTTAATACTCGCTCCCATACGTCTTTGCAAACCGAGTCGAACAGATCAGTGAGACAGCGAGAAATGCCGAGAATCACTAATCAAAGTCGAACCTCTTCTGGCGAAGTTTGAAAAACTCAAACAAAGGCGGTAGGCGGTAGGTGAGGTAAATGAATTTGTTAAGCATACAGATACCGAGACACGATACAGTATGTAACCTTGCTGGCAAGTGCGCTGCGACTGCGCAAGACTCACCCTAAAGCCCAATATACTTGCTCAAAAGAAAATAAATAAGCTACGAATGACACACAGGAGGAAAGGACCTACAAATACCTATATAATATGTTCAAAATAATCATCATGATTGACGGATCGCATGCATGATCATTGAATAAGAATTAAAAGCTAGGTAACTAATAATAACTCGAATGCGCACTTTCAGCGATTGAAAATCTAAGCTAAGGAAACACTATGTTTTCAAAATCTGACAAAGATAAAACATAAGATATGGGCTAAACATGAAGAACAAAAATTTCACCTTAGTCAATGACGTCATTCATTTAACTGGAAAAAAATTTGCTTTCATGCTTTGGTTTGTTTAAATGAACACCACGTATGTATACTTATTATTGCAAAGCTTTCGATCCGGGCGTAAGCCCAGATCTTCAGCAGTGGTAATAATATGTTAAATATGAAGATTCGGGTTTACGGGTCGAAAGCTTTGCAATAATAAGAATACGTGATGTTTTTCACAAAGCGAGAGAAATATTTCTAGTGCTTACTAATTATAAACAGGTTTCATGTTACATTGGGCAACATATTTTTAATGAATGTCTGGTATTTAGGGCAAAAATCTTATCTATAAAATTTCAAAGATTTTATATTAGTTCAGTAAAAGATTTAGTCAAATATACATGGATATACAGAGTCTGTCGTAATTTCAATCTTTTCAATCAGAACAAGGGGACGTGTCTAGTATCATCCGATTTGATAGACGGGTTCGAGATTGCATACATGCATATATATGATTACAGGAAATTGCTGTCATGACGTTTGATCATATGATAATCAGATAATGTAGTAGTTGAAAATATATATTCTTTCAAACTAGGTAGGTGACTTAGGGCTTGCGCATTTCTCATAACTGGCTGAAGTATTGCGTCACCTGAGACCAGATTGGAATCTTTGCAAATTTCCCGGAGAAGAAAAGTATCGACGATATTTTTGGGCGCGTATATATATTAAAGAAGATCAATATTTGCGCGGATGAGCGCTATTGCCAGATGGCCTTTTGGTCGTCGGTTCATCCTGTAGCGCTGGTTACTCCAGCTTATTCAATGACTCAATTTCCTGAAATGGCAAAGAAATCGAGAATGTAAAACGCATTAATTAATTAATTAATTAAAACGTAGGAAAATAACAATATTAAGTATGTGCCTAAATTGTAACTACTAAATGTTCACTACTGGTCACAGTAGGAATGTCTCTTTCCGATACGAAGCTGCAATTTCCTGAACTGGTTACGGGAAAACAGCTATCAATCCTTGCTTTCGTATACTAAGCGTTGATAGATCTTGAGCGGATTAGGGAAAAAAACTGAACCGCGGTTGGCACACAGTTAGTCCCTGCGCGGATGCGGTTGATCTCACAAGAAATGGCGCGGAGAAGATCTTCTCCACACACTACAAAGATTCCTGTCTAGAGTTCTGCATCAGGGACAATATAATTAGACTAGCAATACTAAACATATACAGGACTCTAGTCTCCATCGCAGGCAACTCTTTGGCAAAAATCTGAATATTAAAAAAATCTAAATCTAAATATTAAAAAATCTAAGTATTAAAAAAATTGGGAAAAATGTGAATATTATAGGTTATACCCCTATAGTGATCCCTAACAATCCCTAACTTTAAATTCGCTGTTATTCATAATACTTTTGCCAATTTTTGCCAAAGAGTTGCCTGAGGGGAAGGCTAACAGAACTCGTATAAATGCTGTGAATATTCGGATCTTAACTCGCTAAAGACAAACGTTTAGCTCACAGACACTGCTGTTATTAAAGTTGCCCATGCCATGGAGTCTATCAGTAAGGTATATACGTTGAAATCAGCTTGACAACATCTATTAAAAGGTGATGACAATAACCTGATTTACAACATTTATAGTTCTTGACTTTAGTTTACTTATTATTTTTCGATTTTATGCGAAGCGAAAATAATAATTATACGAAATTCAGCGAAAATTATCAAACCATGTTATCACAGCCTGAATTGTAGTTGGTTGAGATAACCGATACACATCGGAATACACGAAACATATCAGCTGAGATGATGATGAATCAGACAAATTCACTGTTAAACTTCAGAATAATGCACCCTATACCACAAAGTACTGCATGAGCTCCATTATCATGCAGGATTGAGATATCGGCTTTGGCGCCCTATATCTTGGGCGCTTTACATTTAATGGCCTGACCGGTCAGACCCGAATTCTTTTCTCTGTATCAATGGAAAGATCTGGTCTGTGTTTCTCAAATATCCAGAGAAAATAGACCTCATTCTAATGTTATCTAAAATTACCGGTCAGATAGGTCCGAAGCCCAAATGTTTTGTGCTTCATTCAACAATTTGACTGGTCTGGCCGTGTTGATGGAATGCGCCCCTTGTTACCAATGTTTTGCGTATATAAAGATCTCTTATGTTATCTAATAAAACTGATAAAAATGATAACTAATAAAAATGATAAAGCGCTCTAAAGCCCATATCTCACTCCCGGAAAAGAGACTTTATATATAGGGAAAGCTGAGGCTCACTTATGTTCATATTTGACACAACATGCAGTCATAAGGAAATAAAGAGCAACACGGACAGTCGGTTTATTTTGAATCTTTCATTTTTCAGAACAATTGAAATATACAGTGTGTCGTCGATAGTGATAAAAGATAAGTGATTTAGAAGTAAGATATTTACTTATTTATTTTTTTTGTATCAATCCTTGAGAAACAAAAATAAGTAATAAGTTATGAACAACAAGGGTGAAAGTTTTAGAAACAAGATTATTTATTTCTGATTACAATAAATGTAAATAGGACCTATTTAGTATTTGTTAACCCCATAATATCAGCTGCATGTGTCAGTATTCTGTATAACTGACTCCTCTTATCTATACATTATTATTCATTTATATGTAATATATTGTATAGGTACTATAGTAAGAGTAAGCTAATTTTAACTATATAGATTATAGTACGTACAAATAAGGAAAAATTTGTGGTTATATAGCATATATTGACCGATTCGAAAACTGGCTACCAAAATGTTATTTTATCTCTTATGCATTACTATATGCTAATAAACAATTTTTCAACCGAGACTGTTATTTAAGGCGGCAAAGTGTAAATGTTGAAGATTGAGAACAACACCTTAAGCCAAGCCAAGCTTTGAAATGCGCAAAAGCATCAAAACGAGGCTACTCAGTCTTGTTTCCTAAATCGAGCTGAAACTGCGCATTTCTTGTAACTGACCGAAGCCAATATAATTAGACTAACAATTACTAAATATATAGCTATACATACTAATGTAATGTTGTGAATATTCGGATCCGAACTCGCTAAACACAAACGTTTACCTCACAGACTGATACGTTATCAATAAAATCAGCTTCATAAACATCTATTAAAAGGTGACAAGAACTTAAATTATAACGATTACAATTTTTCCTCGTTTTTTCAACATGCTTAAAAATTAAAATGGTTAATTGATACGGCAGGAAATTTTCGCCTATAGTCGGTTAGTATGAGGTCTGGTTACAGTTAGGTAAATTAAGTCGGTTTTACATCAGATATCTGATAATGAATGGGCGAAGTGAAAATTATAATTATACGAAATTCAGCGAAAATTGTCAATTGAACTATGTTGTCACAGCCTGAATTGTAGTTGATTGAGATAACCGATAAACAATCGGATAAAATCGGCCGACCAAAATCTTATTGTGTCTGATTGGCTTAAGTTGCGGGTATAAAGATTGAAGTGAATTCATCGCATAAAACAGCCAGAATGTTGTTTGTGCGCATGATTCGCTTGGGTAATATTGTGTGGATCAGTTACTTGCCTTGAAATTTTAACTTGGACATATCTTCAGCTATATATACAGCCAGAGTGCATGACTGTGACAACGAGTAATATAGGCTTCAAGAAATTTGTAAATTCAAAATTATAATAGAACCTCGAAATATTTATTCAGCAACTCTGACAACGTATATGATCATGGTTAATATTTAAAAACCATTCAAAACCCATTAATGGAAATTTCATTTTTTTCCTGTGATTATTACAAGTATTTGCTTTGATTTATAAGTACTTACTAAGCAAGTTTCACACTGTAAATTTCAAGGAGTTGAAGCAACTCCAAAAGTGTTATTCTGGCACCGTTTTGGTGACAGAATATATATGTTACATATGGCTAACATATTTTTATGAATTTCACGTATTTAGAGCAAAAATCTTGTTTATCATGAAATAACAAACATTTTGTATCAGTTAAAAGGTTCAGTCAAATAGACGTGGATATACTAAGGCTGTCAAAATTCAGCCTTCTCAGTCAATACATTGACGAACGTGCTCTATCGATCATGGCTGGATCCGGATTTACAAGAAGCGAATCAAATGCAAACTTGATTAGATTTGTTATACCTTAGGCCACTCCAAATTAGACTTTAGTTTCCCGTCCTCCGCCCGCGTCTCATAGAACTGGCCGCATGATTTGTCCATTATTGCAAACTTGTTTCCATTATTTGACTTTTGTGACAAACAATTACGAAAAACCACCGTTTTCAAATAATCTATCGTTCAAGAAATACATATTTATGATACAACACGTAAAAATCGAAATAAAATTCTTGAAACTTTTATCAAAGACCGTGAATTTTTTTCCGTTTTCACTACGAACTGCTGAGCTACACACTTCCGTTACAAATTTTTGAACGTCAAAACCGATAAGGTTAATATCCTGGCTTTCATTTCTGCATAGAAAAATTCTAAAACATTGCGTAGAAACGTGACTGAATGGATATTGAAAACGAGTATCTATTTCATGAAATAATGGGCCGTGTTTCATCTTTCAGACACCATAATGGATAATGGAAATGGACCGCCCGCCCGCGTGTAATTTGAAATAAGGGCCGGACGGGAAACTAAAGTCTAGTGGCCTAAAGATTACATAACTCAAAATAATTCGGGTAAAACCGGTCTTTTGTTAAAAGGAAGACTGGTTAATAGAAATTGGTCGTTTTGAGTGATATACTCGTGTGGCGTCATCGATCCGTGTCGTTGAACAATGAAAAAAATTGTTGTTAAAAGTTAGCGAAGATAAAATAGCATTTTGTGAGAAAACTGCGGGTTTACGGCGCGGGAAGTTTTCGGATTCGAACTCAGCGTGCTTGAAAGTGTTAGTTCCCGTAAAAATATTTCAGTTCCAAGACATGCTTAATAAAAGTAAACAAAATCAGGACGCAGCAAACGCTTATATATATAAGCGCCCTGGTCCTCAAAGCGGAAAAATTTTGACTCAATTTTTCATTTCAAATATTTCCAAATTATTATATTATATACTTCATAATTATATGTCTTTTCACATTAATATTATTAGAGTATTTTTAAATTTTCATATTCTTCAATCTTTTCCACCAAAATCCATTATTTATTATACCGTATTTCTAACATCGTATCACGTATTATCATATAATCGTTTGAAACTTGGATCGAAAAAGACTGGATCGTAGAACCGACCTGACCGCGCAGCTCAGTTGGCAGAGCATTGGGCTAGTCAAAGTCGTAGGTTCGATTCCCACCGTGGCCGGGCATATTTTCAATATACACAAGCGTCTTATCTAACGATAAGGTACGCCGAAAATAGACTTACTTTATAGCCACAAACCGTGGCTATAAGCAATACCCAAAACAGGCGTACTTTATAGCCAATACCTGCCAAGGCTCGGACGAATTCGATTACGATTACCATAAATTACACGCGGATGCATTATTGTTCAGACCGGAACTGCATTGCATTGTACTAGACTATACCCGGCTTTTTACGGATAAAATTCATGGAATATAGCATTTCATACCGTGATGTATTAACCCAATATCTTGCAAAGCTCTCACGCATTTCACTGCCATAATTCGATCGCTTGCTTCCAAATGTTCAACAAGCCAGTCAACCGGTCCAGCTCTCGGCCGATGAAAGATTTTTAATACAAACTGCTCGAAATACAAGCGAAGACTGCGAAGTCGCAAATATTCGCTTGTTATAACTACATCTGTTTTTCGTGAACGACTGTCCGTATTTTGAGCCATTTGCGGTTGAGCACATTGGCAGCGTGTCGCTTCATCGGGTTACTATGTTTGGATAAACACTTTTTTTACCCAGTTAAATATTAGCCTGGCATGACAGATTACGGGTCATTAA